AATTTAGTTTTATCCATATTCATAGATAGCATATTACTATCACACCATTTCTTTATCTTCTCAAGTTCCTGTGAAACCTGTCCCGATAGTTGCTGTAGGTTATCCCCGGATGCCCATATCGTAGTGTCATCAGCAAATAAGACCATTTTCACTAAAGCCGAAACCTTGCACATATCGTTAATGTATAATATGAATAATTTAGGTCCCAAGACTGAACCTTGAGGCACCCCACATACAATTTCCAGATCACTCGACTGATGTTCACCCAACTTCACAAATTGGCGCCTCTGTGTCAAATAACTACTAATCCAATTCAAAGCCAGTCAGTATATGATAGAATTCCACTTACAGTATAGGAGCCCGAACTGATAAAGGTTTGTCTCCCCAATGTTTCAGTCTGGACTTCGGTACTACCAGGAACAACTAGTTAGAAGACCTAAGTGTCCTTTCTGGAGCATAAAAATGCAGAAGCTCAGAGATATACGATGGTGCTAGACCATGTACAGCCTTATAGACAAACATCAACAATTTAAAATCAATCCTAAAACGAACAGGAAGCTAATGGAGTGAGGCAAGAACTGGAGTTATATGCTCATGACGCTGTGTATTAGTCAAAAGATGAACTGCTGCATTTTGGACCAACTGGAGCCGAGACAATAAGGCTTGAGAAATGCCAGTATACAGTGCAATACAATAATCAAGTCTAGAGCTAAAAAAGGCATGAATTGCCTTTTCAAGTCACTAAAAGAAAAAAAGTGTTTAACCTTAGCCAGAAATCTCAACTGAAAGAAGCAGCCAAAAGGTCTAAGAGAATCAAAATAGCAGTATTTCCTTCATCCACAGTCAAGAAAAAATCATTAAATGCCCTCATTTTTCTATCTTGCTGTGTTGGCCAGGGTGTTGAGCGGCTGATACACTATCACTATTGGCCATGTAAAGACTGGACGCTGAGTGTATTAAGAACCCGATTTTAAATCAATAGGTTCTTGTAAATTCTTAATCTATTAGTGTGAATGATACAGGAACTCAAAACTCCATTGTTGTCTTTTTATTAATTTACTAACCTTGCCTAAAACCCAAAACAGCAAAAAGGGAGGCTGCTGCAGTGATATTTGAAATGGATACAACCAAGGGGGTTATCAGTGCCCCTGCTGCCAAAGCAAAGACAGGACTGCAATTAACTGCTACAAGCAAAGCAGATCTTGGAAAGAGAAGCAGGAGGGCAGATACAGCTAATACTGTGATTTCCTGTCTGTGATATTTCTGACTTCCTGATGGGCTTGAAAATGAGAATACACCTCTTGTGACTGCAGCCGATCAATTACAATCAGATGTGTTATCAGCTGACGTACTTAGCGCTGGGCTGAAGTCAGTTGATTGCTGACACTGAAGAGCTTAAAGCAGTGTTTGTCCTTGTGATTCTGTAATGAGTGATACAACCACCTACAACACATTCAAAGCTCCTCATCAAAATCTTAAACAGACCAGCAATGCAGTTATCATCTCGGATGTAAAGTGTATGCCTGTGTGGACTATGGTCATATGTTTCCTCTATTCAATTTACCAATGAGTTTTAATCCACTGTATTACATGAGAAGGAGCATATCATCACAAATTAATCCATGTCTGTCACTAGTTTTCCTCTTTGTCCATCTCACTCAGGCACTAAGGCCTCCTGGCTTAATCTGGCCTAAGCTGGTGAGGCTCAGTAAAGCACAGAGGAGTTAGGACTGCATCCAGTGGGAACATTTTCCTAATCCCCTTCTGCCCTCTCCTTTATAAACACTCTTGTGTTCATCACTGTCACTGATGGGCTTTATCTCTCTCTCTCTCTCTCTCTTTCTGTCACAATGTGCTTTAGAAAACAGAGAGAAAAGGACCAAAGATTGCCTGGATTTCTTATAATCTCAGACAGACTTGAGCCCCATCTAGTGAGTGAGGCCTCATGGTCAGACCATGCCACGTGCTAAAGTGGTGAGGCAGTGGAAGATCAGGTGCACATCTGCTCTGAGAGGGATCAGACGCAACAGGGCCCTGATGTGGCAGTGGATACGAGGACCGGCCTGTGCTTGCCAACGTGGTGTAGGGTACTCAGTGAATTACAATGACCCAGATGGAGAGGAACAGGAGATGGTGTGCCTTGAGGTATGCACGTGTTGTTGTTTGTTTGTTTTTTACATTAAGCATTACCGTTATTGATAATAGCCTCATTACCATAATCCTATCACTGAGTATTACTTTGGAGCAAATTTTCATGAAGTAGATACAATCAAAAGTCATTAACAAGTCAAGTAAAATTGCATCTGCACATATCAGTTTACTTTTCTCAGAGTACATACATGTATTTCAGAAATAGTGTTGCTTACTAGTAGTTTCACCAGTAAGCAGTCACAGATAACACAATAACAATAAAACGCTGACAGCCTAATTAAACTTACTAAAGCCATTATACTTCTTATTTTTAATTATTAATCACATGCCATAAATTAAGCATATTTCATAATGTCTATTGATATTGTTGTTTTAATTGAAGCCAGATTGCTCATGTTGGAGCATCAGCAACCCTTTTTGCTTCTTTCCATCCCCTATTTAGAGAAATACTTCATGTCTGAACAAGGCTTAAGAAGATTAAAAGAAGAAGATAGTATATCTTGAAATAATGTGATGCCAGTCCTTAGAAATCTAATTCAAGTTGCACAGTGAGCTACACAGTCAGTATTACATAAACATCAAAATGCAATATTTAATGAGAAAAATCTTAGGGTGTTCTGAATACATTATAGCTTCCAAAAAACAGTCTGTGAATGTGATTTTGGATAGAGTTTGGCAGCACAGTGAGTCTTGGTAAATGGACAAATAAAGATTTTTGCTTGGCTTTCAGTAGTAAGGAGCACCGTGTTACTATTCTCAGAGTGGAAGGGATTGTATAAGAGCCAAGAGGACATAGAACTCCAGAGCTGAGTGGGAGGACAGGAGGACAGAGGAGTCACTTCAAATCATTAACATATACATTACACAAAGCTGTTGCATGGCCAGATATTTCAGAGCAGAGTCAAGCTGGTTGACTACCAGTCAAAGTAGAATCACAATGGAAACTAAATGAAATAAGAATTAAAGTAGTACTCATATACAGCAGATGACACTTTGTGAAAAGGCAGGTTAGATGTTAATTTCAGATATGCTTGAAAAATGTTTATGTTCAAGCGCATAAACAAACTTTTCATAGCAGACTTTTTGACTCGTAACAGCAGGTAAAGCACAGGTGTAATCAATAATACTAATGATGGCGCAGTTCCACTGAAGGCCCTGCAACCATGCATATGTGGTTTTATGTATTCCGTATGAACAGACCTCTGCTTATGCCGTGTACAAATCATATTGTTAATTATATTCAGCTGACATCTTGTAAATCTGAGTTTCAGACATTGGGAATTTCTGACAGAAATGAAATGTCCCACTTAGTCAGAAAGAGCTGCAGACATGTCAACAGAGGATGGCTGCAAATGTGCCACTGCTGGTAGTTGTATCAAAATAAAAGCCAATATTAAAACGAATACAAAAGATTAAGCTAATCTCAAAAATGCTCTACATATTTATATCTGGTTTCACTTGTTAATGAACTGGTACACCATGTTTATCATGAGGGCTAACTGCCTTAGAATAAAGTGTGAGCACTCCCACAGCGGATGTGTTTTGTTTCCTGCTGTTCTCACTCTAAACATTGCATTAATGTAGCACTGGATTAATGTTGGGTGAAGCTATGATAGTTATTACATGAAATCCTAAGTTGTCGCACCCTAACAGATGCAGCAACACTAACAGGGCAGTCAGAGAGATGTTAGTCTATCAGAGTCTAAATACATCCACACCTGTGTAGGTTGATGTGATTGTGTAGTGGCTTTAAGTATTGTTATTCATGTTATCAGCTACACCTGTGCTTTCCCTCTCAATAAAGCAAAGTGACAAAACATCTTTGCTTTATTGATGGTCTCAGGTGCCCCTGCACATTTTAAGGACTATGTTGTGAATATGCACAGAAAGCTGAAGTTCATCTTTTGTGATCATGCCTCTGAAGAAAGGAAAAGAAAAGAAAGATGGATAACATAAATATAATTTACTTGTTTGCTCACCCCTCAGTGCCAGAGATAGGAACGGCACTTTGAACTCAACTAATTGCACTATTGTAAAACCATAATATATTTATTGGCTAATGTTGGTGTTGTGTTTATGTGTGTGTATTTATTTATATTAACTCTGGCTGCAACTTCATTTCCTTTTGAGTGACAATGATGCAATTAATGCATTTCTAAAGATGACATTAAAGAAAATGGTCATATAGAATCACAACAGCGTATTGTGTGTGCAAAGCTAAAAAAAAAGTTTTGCTGCAAGGTTTTAAATTGTCTTTAAATGAGCCCAATATAATTGTGTTTACCCATTTTGAAGGTGGTAATTTGAACACTCCGTATGCAGACCTGTCAACTCGGCTTATGCTGATGATATGATGGTGAATAGTCAGAACAGATGACTATAACTTGATCAATACACCTGGGGGAAACAAAAAAATTAATTAGATGAACAATAAAGTCAGAAAGAAATAAAAAGCAAATGAAGTGACAATAATGCTTCCTATAGCCTGTTGCCACCTTTGCTGCTGTGATTGGACGAATCAGCTTCACCTTCAAAATGCTCACAGATACTATGGACAAGCTCTTGAAGTGTTATGTTGGCAATCACACTTCTGTATGTTGAGCTCCAGGGATCCACTCTGTGGTTAATTCTATTTTCTTCAAAGCTTTACAATGCTTTGAATCCCCGTATTCACATATTGAAAAGACTTTATTCGCCCTGTTGCCCAGCTTTGTCATCCTACACTGTGTAACCTTGTGTGTTCAGATTCCCTTCTCCACTTGGTGTTGTGCTTTCAGAGAGAAAAGTCTCTATGTTCATCAAATCAGAACAGCATGAAGTATCATTTGTTGCTTGTGTGTATGTGTATCAATCTCATGTGGCTATTTGCATGTCTGTATTGTGTAGTATGAACATAAGGGAAGGTGTTGGAGTGTTGAGGAAATCATGTTCCTATCTCTTGGGGGAAACAAAGATGTGTGGATGCTTGGGACACACCCTAGTTAGACACAAAGCAATTAATCTGGACAGGGAAGAAATCTATTGTTTGGCCTTTTTTGACAAGATAACAGAACAGATGAATGCCAGATCTCTCAGTATCATACAGTATATACTGTACAGTATACCAGGTCTGTATGGTGTCTGTAACAGTTCACCTGTGAGTCTTGTTTTACATATGCTCGCAGTTTGCTGCATTTCTTGGTAGAGTGTGGAACTGGTGAGATTAATTTCCATGGCATCAGAGAGCATCTTGACTGACAACGTGGCCCAGATATTCAATGGCACAAATGTGTTGGTGTAAATTAAATAGATAATTAAATAAAATAAATGTCGTGCTGGACTTTTGCAGGTGCAGCAGCTATTGAGTGCAGAGTGCCACCTGGTGTTTATATAAAGCAAAACACAACATGCACCTAAAAGCAAAGTATGTAACAGACTGCAGTGAAAGATGTGTGAAAATGTACAATATATCTTATTTTAGTATTATCTTATAGCTTGATTCTGTGTCAGATGACCAACACATGAATACAGTGTAAGACTCATACAGCCATGTAAAATACTAAGAGATCATATCTAGCAAATATGGGCCTCAAAAAATGAATATGATCATTGATTCACTGCAAATCAATTAGTGCTCTGGTATCATGTGGATGAAGAATATGATGTTAGTGTTGTAGTTCGAGCTACCTTCAGGTGGCAGTGTTGCCTTCCACATCATTACTGGTTGCAGGTCTGTACTGTGGATTACAGGGCACACAGGTGCTTGGAAACTACCCGTACAAAAGCCAGTTATGTTTAATTTTAATAGATCAGTATGTATAGTGTATAGATGTGAGCCTGAAATTGCAAAATATGAACTGTTGTATTAGTTCGATGAATAATGTGACACACAGAGAGGTAATGCAACACATATAAATTGGGTGAATCTAGTTTGCAGCCCCTGTACTTGGCTAATTGTTTAAAATAACTGAACAAACAAAGGGATACAACAAATTCAGAATTAAACAACACATACATACTGTGTAAGTCACAAGAGGATTAAAGGGCTTTTGGCGTTCACAAAGTCCTAAACAATTGATTGCACTTGGGGGGTAGATCATTCTAAAATGAAAAAGCACTTAACACTCTGTAAATATAAGATGGCAAATTATAAAACACTGGCTGTCAAAGTCATCCAAGTTTAGGTGAAAGTAGTGCAGTGATCTGTGCCGCTGCTTGTTTCAGCACCACACGTGAGTGTGTGGGGGGGTATTCCTACGTATTATTTCAAATGTTTTGAGCTATGTAAATAGCAGTAATGTGACAGGGGCTCAAGCGAATTCAATGGGTGTTATTTTTTCTGCCCTTTGTGCTTTTACGCCTCTCCCTTTTCGTGATCGCAAACTGACATGCAGCCATTCATGCCCGAATAGTCCGATTCTAAAGTCTCTCTCAGACAAGGCAGGCACGGACCTGCACAGTAAACCTGTGTCAGGCTGTTCGGGGTTTACGCTCTTCACTGGGCTACTACGAGTTGGGCAGAAGACGCATGCGTACTGATTTGAAGCAGCCGGTCGGGATAAAGGCGTTATGTACCATCGGATGTAATCAAGGCAAAGAATTACCTCTTCTCGCTGTGCATACATGGTGAAATTGTAAGTATTGGTAGCAAACCGACGTTTCATTACATAAACATTTCGGGAGAGGAGCGTTTGAGGCCGTTTCCCGGCGTTTTAAATGGCATGTCACTATCTTGCTGTACAGTGGGCTTTTAACAGATCTAGGCAGTGTCTTTTCGGTGGTTGTCCAGGGCGATGAAGCGCTATGGCTCTTCATGGTGGTACTTTCCATTGATGTGATGTGTGAGCTTCTAGTGCAGTGGTCTCTGCTGTTATATCGCAGAAAATCCTGTGTTGTTCACGTTTGTGCTGCTGTGAGATTGAAGAACAAGTGTGGTTTATGTGGTGTTGTAATGATTTATTCTTTGATTGGATACGACAACCCCCCCCCCCCCCCCATTTGATCGTCTATAGCTGTTGAGTCAAGCCATAGCATACTGCAGCTGTGTCAGCTTTGAAGTGCCCGATACCTAACGCGTAAAATATGGCTTTTGGCAAGACGCACACAATCTGCAACCGAAGCCAGCTCCGAATCCGAGGGAAACCGCGCGCGGATCCATTTTAGAAATGACCAAACGGTATTGTACTCAGTGAAAGGCTGTGATAGAGCGATGCTGCGGTTATAGATCTGCAAGCAGCGCCTTCAGCAGCTTGTGTCAAATTTTCTGACATTTTCAAAGCATCAGTTGCTTGTGTCAGGTAGCAGGCGAATGCCCGTGTTGGAAGCGACAGCTTAGTTATATAAATGATCTGAGAGGATTTGGCAGTATCTGACCCAGTGATGACACATTTGCTAAAATCAGACAATAAATGATTCTGTGAGCATTGCCTGTCTGTAGTCTATAGGCCTACAAACCGTCATGGGTATTCTGTTGAATCCACTAAAGCACTAGTCACTATTATAACAGTAATTTCTCACGGACATGATAAATATAGCCTAAGGGTGCATGGCATTTGACAAGTAGGCCTACACATGCTAAAAAAAAAATATTTATTTGCAGGGGTATTTAATTTATTCTTTCACTTGGGCCCAGCCAGCGTTGCAGATCCTTTAATGTGCTGCTTTTACACTCAGGTTCTCAAAAATGAGATCTCTGAAATTTTGGATTATGGATATTGAACCCATGCTCTAGGTCCAGCCAGTTTGAGATTAGAGGGACTGAAATGTGCTTAGTGGGTGTATATTTGGCAGCAGGAAAAACAAATTCCACAAATTATGTTTCCATACATTTCCTCTGAATTGAGCAAGCAACATTCCTTTACAGTGCGGCCACTGTACATGCCAGCACATGCTTCAGTCAGAGCATCAGCAGCACTTTACTTCCTACCCATATAAAAAACAGATAGGTGTCAACTGGTGAATCTGATTTTAATTAATTTATCAAATTTTTATCACAGTAAATGTGATGGTAAAAATGGATCCACCATCAGGATTTCACACTGACAACACCACTACCCTGTGCTGTCCTTGCTCCCCTTATTGTTGTATCCTACAAATACATTGCAAGCCAACAGATTTTCTTATTATATGTATACTTCCATGACAAAATCTCAATTAAATACTATTCCTTAAAAAAAATATAAAACAGTATCTTCCTCTCCCCTTTCCTCTGTCTATAGCCCATGGGATCAGAACGGATGGAGATGCGAAAGAGGCAGATGTCGGTGCAGCAGGAGTCAGCAACGGGGGGAACTGCACCGGCTCAGCAGGGCCAGCCAGGCCAGGCCAACCCACGGGGCTCGAATGCATGTTGCTTCTGTTGGTGTTGCTGCTGTAGCTGTTCCTGGTAGGTCTTCCCCACCTGAGAACTCGCTCACTGTGGCCCAGCATGGTAAAAATTACTGCACGCAGGATGGCACAGCAATGAGCTGCTGCAGTCCCAACAGCAGGCCCCTGCTTGTGTCTAATGCTCTACATGTTTTTTTGCATGTGATCTCTAGTAGACTTAGTGTAAAACATATCTAAATCTTAGTTGGTTATCTGCTGTGAATGTGAGAAATGTGAGCTTGTGAAATATCAGCAGTCAGTGATAAAATCAAACCAAATCGGAATCAAAATTTTTGGCCTAGAAATTTGACTCCAGTTCCCAGGACACATTTAAAAGACAAACCAAACATACACCTAAAAACAACAATTTCTAAACAATCACAGGTACAATTTAAAATGTATAGCTTTTATATAATGGTAACAGGTGAATAGCAAACTCTGTACTGTATGTATTTATATACTGTGACTAGCATTTTCATTATCAAATAATCCGCAGATTTTTTTCTTGCTTAATTGAACTGAATTGTTTAACCTTTAAACTGTCTGTGGCAGTCGAAGTGATGCCCTGAAATTGATAAATAGCTTTTGTTGTCCAAACAATATTCTAAAATCCTCTTTGTTATCACAGAAGGGTAAGAAAGTAAGCAATAGGTGCAGATTCATTTTCAGCTAATCAGTTAATTGGCCAGTAATTTCAGTTCTACAGGTGAGTGTATCTGGGAAGGACTGACAAAAGTGCTAGGATAAATAGCAGTTATTCTATTTACCAAGGTAGCTTTATGACCATTACATTGTACATTGAAATTATATGTGTAGCATGCAGCTTGCTTAGACGTCCATATGACATTGAAATTATACTATGTGTATGTTAATGCACACTGTTTATGTTACACTCTAATATAAATTTTATAAATAACTCATTTGGAGAAATTAAGGAAACTTAAAATTAAAGAAAATGACACCTTAGCAATAACAGTTTTGAAAATCTTTATTTTGCTTTTCTTTGTTGTGTTTACATGTGATTTACTATTAGGAATGAAGACCGGGATGATAGGAACCGAAAGGCATCTTATGACATTAAGGAAGGGACCGCAGACTGTGAAGACTGGTCAGTTAAATTCACTGCACAGGAATGGCCTTATCTATTAAACATTTTTTTTTCTTTTGGATAAATGTTGAAATCACTCGTATTGTCCATACTCTCTGCAGCCCTAAGCCCACACTGGAGGAGGTGCGCTCATGGGGGCAGTCATTTGACAAGCTGATGTGTTGCCCAGCAGGGAGGAACTCCTTCCGACAGTTTCTTCGCACTGAGTTCAGCGAGGAGAACATGCTCTTCTGGCTAGCCTGTGAGGAATTCAGCAAAGAGACCAATAAGAGTGCGATAGAGGAGAAGGCTCGGGTCATCTATGAGGATTACATCTCTATTCTCTCGCCTAAAGAGGTCTGACGGCTCAGTTTCATTGTGTTATTAAATGTGCTCATTTCATTCTCTCTAACTTTAAAGGGATAATTCATTTTTGGAGGAGGGAGAGTGTATGCTTCTTTACTTTCTTAGTGAGAAGTAAATGAAAAGATTGATATGACTCTCATGTCCGTCAAGCTACTGTCAGCAGCCAGCTAGCTGCTTAGCATAAAGACTGAAAGTGGAAGTTTTGCTGTGTTCAAAAGTAACAGACTCCACCTACCAGCACCTAATGCTCACCAATTAACACATTATATCTCATTTGTGTAATCCATGTGCAAAATGTTGTTTTTACACTTTCAGTCAAACAAGATTGAATCTGTTAATTAGTGAACTTTAGATGTATGGTGCATTTTGCTCCCCAGTTTTCAGTCTTTGTGCTTTATTTGTTATGGTTTGGTATTTGAGGGTCCAGATGCAGATGTGAAATGTGGGATACGTGGCAAGGAACACAAGACTTTAATAATGATAGCAGGAGTGCGGGTAAACAGGATACACGGGTATGATGGCAGACACAGGAAAACACTATAATACAGGGAGAATATGATTGATTCGAGGAAAGTAATACAACATAACACACAAAGACATGCTCAGAAAAACACAAACACTTAAGGTAACTGGCTCAGGAAAGTGCAAGAACACAGGTACGGTAACATGGCTAACTGGTTAAGTACAACATTGTGGGTACTATGGCTGGCTCAGGTCAATACTACAATGCTGGCAATAAGACTGGCTACAAGTAACATGAACCACAGGTACATACAATGGCAGGTAAATGGAAGACAACAGGAGTTAAACAGAACACACAGATGAGAGTGGCTACTGAGCATACAACCAAACTAGAGCAGAGAACAGGCTTATCTGTGGTCACAGACAGAAAGAGTTCATATCCAAGCAGCTAGGCCAGGAAAACAGTTCAGGGGCAGACAAATAAACAGATTCAGGGAGTGAATCAGGGAGTCCATGCGCATATGGAGGCAGACAGGAAAACTTGGGACAGATTATTGAACAGAAAACCAGAGAGCACAAATGTCCATAAACAGGAGATAAGTAGGGTCCAAGAGAGTTAACAGGTCAAAAATGGGACAAGTAGAGAGAAAAAGGTGCTAGAAAGTCATGAGAGATGAGTTCTTCGATGACAATCTAGCAGTGAGTTAATGCTGGTGGCTGGTTTAAATACAGACTGTTTGATTACACAGAGGGAAGGCAGGTGAATGTAGGCAAAGTGGCACAGAGCAGGTAGCAGGAGCAGGAAAAAAGGAACAAACACAAGGACTGGGTCTATAATAACAAGGGAAATGCAGCAGAGACAAAACAAAGCATAGGATCATGACATTTTGGGTAAATCCCAATTCCCTTATTTGATCGTTTCTTGCTTGAGCTGGAAGTCGCTCTAGTCTCCCATCTTGAAGGACATCCCAAATCCTTATCAACACACCACTTTATCAGAAATCAGATGGTGATTGGATGCTTCAGATCAAGGATCAGAGGAAAGGATGTCTCACGTATGTGATGTGTTCTCGAGTCCTCACTCCTTGCATTTTTTTCCTTTGTATCTTACACTGGAGGGACTAAGATACAAGGAAAAGATCCAAGTGGGGAAAATGTGGATGCAATTAATGGAATTGGGATTTGCCCTAGATTTGCCATACAGCCACATCTCTTATTTTCCCTTCAGTAAGAAAGCAAAATGTAAAACTGTTCTTTCAAGGTAAACTTTGTCACAGATGAGGTGCATATGTTGATCTTTCTAATGTTTTATTCTCTCAGGTAAGCCTTGATTCCCGTGTGCGAGAGGCGATCAACAGGAACATACTGGAACCCACCTCGCACACGTTCGATGATGCCCAGCTGCAGATCTACACACTAATGCAAAGAGACTCGTATCCCCGCTACATGAACTCCCCAGCCTACAAAAACCTGCTCAACACTCTGTCAGAGCAGTCCCCTGAATCTTAGGATGATGATGACCTGTGATGTTTTAACTCTCTTAATGCCCTGTCCCCCTCCATCCTTAACCCCCTTTCTTAAAATTTTCTTTATGTTCAGTATAGGATTACATTAACCAGGCCTCAAGCCTGGCCCCTCCCAGGGATCTCAGCGCTATTGTGATCTGCACCTGACCGAAGACACTCAGGTCTCAAAATCTCCCGAGGGCTCGACATCACAAGTACTGCTACAGATCAACATAGCAAAACACTCCAAAGGAATATGAATACATTTTAGTTTCTGGTTTCCTTTTCTTTCTTTTGATAGAAATAATCTATTTTATTTGTGTTCAGAGTTTTTTATGGTCTGTTGTTTTTTGTATGATTGTTTGGGGGGGGAATGATTCCTACTGTAGACTATATATTTATGAGTTTGTAAATAGTAAAAATGGAATTGTGGGTATTTTATGTGGAAACGCCTGGTTCTATTTACTGCGTATGAAAATCAAAGCTCAAGTCAAAGGCTACATGTTAGCTGTACTTGCAGGCAGCTTGGTGGGGTACTGTATGATTTTACCTTGGTTTCACCCTGTTTTGTTACCTAACCTCACACTTTGGTTCCTGTGAGAGTGACTTGGCAACTCCAGTTCACGTAGAAACTGTGCGTGATTGAAGTGTGGTTACTGGTGAAGTTACAGAAAGTGACAAGAGCTTTTGTCACAGTGTGCAATGTGTTTCCTTAAGAAACATCTATGATGGAAGGGTATTTTAACTGTCTTTATTCAATATTAAACCCAGAGGTCTGCCTATTTAAGATTTTATTTAAATTCAAGTGTTACTCATTGCACACCAGATATGTTTAATAGTTTTACCTGTGTGACATAAGAAGTAATTCTATTTACCAGATAATGTATTTTTTTATTTTATTGATATCAATTGCCAATACAGAAAAACCAATAAGTACAAATTATATTACAGAGTACAGTCCTATGGTGAAGTAAACTGTTAAGTCCTGGTCAGAAACTGAAGAAATATGTGTATGGGTCTGTAAATTTTTAATAACCTTCTAGGAAATTGCAAAGAACTATGTAATTTTGTACTAAACATTAAGAAAATACAAATTTTATTGGAAGAAAATGCAAGTGAATATTCATTTATTATTGAAAACCTTCCAGGAAATATGCTTATTTGTATTTTTTTAAACTAAGCATTAGATAAGACTGATGCCACTCTTTGTTTGATTAATATGAAGTCACATCCAGCAGGTGGCTAGCATAGCTTATGAGAAAGACTGAAAATCAGGAAACTGCTAACGTCTAAAACAACAACATCTAATGAGTAGCACCTCTTAAGCTTGATAATGAACACTATATTGTCTTTAATTCGTAGAATAACCTGAGTGTAAAAACAGCATGCAGTTTTGTCAGGCTGTGTTATATGTTGAACTATACTGTGTGCACCTGAGCGACCAGCCTGCTGTAGCATGACCTGTAGTTTTACATTAAACTCGAGAGTTTTATCGATGTTCTCATCAACCAGAAAGCACATACTTCTCGAAACATACTATAGATATGTAGGTTATGCAGGTACTTAACTGGAATTAATTAATTAGAAGTGTGCCATTTGAACTGTCTATTTCAGTAACAATTACTACTAAATTACATAGTTCTTTCCAGAAAATCTGTTGGAAATTAGTAAGAAATCACTCAGAAATGACAGATCTGTGAAATAAAAAAAAAGAATTAATAAAATTTGTGTGGGATTGACATTTTTGACAGTGGTTGCACCACCTTGGATGCTTTTGACTAAAAAAAATTGTATAAATAGCATATCTGCTATATTAAATTGGCTATCAGTTGAAAATGACACTGGGGACAGCAGGGTAACACCAAAGCTACCATGTAAACTGTGTTTATATGTTTCTCGAGAGTGTTTCCACTGACTAAAATTGGAGTTGCCAAGTGTTAAATACTTCAATGTATTCTGATTTCTGAGAGATTTAGTTGAATTATTTTGTTGCCTCACAAACATGTCACTCAAAGACAAGATCCTCACATGGGGAAGTGCCTTGACATTCAATTTTATGACATCTTTCTCATGAGCAGTGGATGTTTTCATAAGAGTGCTTACTGGAGCATGAGGCCAGTTTACGGGAAAATGTCGCTCTCATTGGCCAAATTAGCGCATGTGTTTTGTCTCAGTCCCTTAGTCAAGACTACATCAGTCCATTTTGGTAGCGGAGAGAGTGATGACAGCACATGTCTTTATTTGTGATGGACGAAGATCGGTGGATAGAGGGCTGGTTGATCTGAACTTCTTGCCAACCTGTGTGCTTCACAGTGGCGCTCCTACTTGTCTTAGAGTTAACTTTTACTATGTGCAATTTGAATTGAGGGAGAGGCTGTGCAGATCAACCTCAAAACACAATCTAAGCCAATGGTTTGGAGTGATGCCTATAAATGTTGTTTCTTCTTCTGTTTACTATATGAAATGTGGTATTTTGCTCTGAGTTTACTGAAGAATACATTTTTAAAAACAAATAATGTGAATGTTTACAGTATACGGTTTAGATTTTTTTTTCTGCTACTATAAGAAAATAATGACTTGTGGGCATTTTGATTAAGAGAAAATAAAGCACAATAATTTTATTGACTCTGGAGTGATTTGGTCACTAGACTGCAAGACACAGCTATTATGCAATCAAACTTCTCTGGGAAATAACTCAACAAATTTTGCTGAATATGCTGAACTAATTGGAATTTCACTCAAGTCCCATTATCTGTTCATGAGCAGCATTAAAGGATATGTATGTATATATATAAATCAGAAAATCACAGACATTACTGAGACATGGAGTGAAATGTTTCTCTACAATTATGTGTCTGATTCCAGCACAGAATTGTGTTGATTTTTAATCAGCGACTGGTGAATCAGATCAATCCAGATAAAGAAATTTGCCATCTTAGTTTGAATTGTTCTTATGATCTTGAATGTGTATTGGAGTTAATCCAATAACATATTGTAAAGGAGATACAATCTAATACAAAACTAAGGGTTATTCAAAAATCAAAGTCAACAATGGCAGTGAACAACTTATTACTGAACTGAGAAAAAAGTGTTGCACATGGTCTTTATGTGCATTAAAGCTACAGTATATAACTTTAAAGCTATAGCATGTAACTTTTTTCAAATATTTTTGTTGTATAAATCTTCTCCACAACTTGTCTTAATGTGGAGACGTGCCGTCGAAGCCTCCTGTGGCCCGGACTCATTGAACAGATATTAGCTTCTAACAGTTTTCTGAACAGGATTGACCTTTCTAACCAATAAAAGATTTTCAATTATTTCAGGTTTTTTTTTTTAAAGGTTCAAAGATTTTTATTGTCAATTCACTATATGTGCAGGATATACAGAAAACTGAAATACCATTTCTCTCTCTCTCCTAGTAATGAGTGCCATGCCATTTAGGAACTTAAATAGAATAAAAGTTGAATAAAGAAGAAACAGGATTAAAGTAATTAAGAAACAGGATTAGAAGTAATTAGGATAAAAATGGTACAACCAATAGGCTATGACTCAAAAAAGAAAAAATAACATGTACAGTCAGTGACAGTAGTGCAGTAACAGAAAGACTGTCATCACCAGGATGTTGGTGATGAGGTGATAACATATGAGATGTACTGTATATGGACAGTAGTGCAAATGACCAACAGCAGCAGATATGATGGTTACAAAAAATCAGTCAGCAGATTTACATATAATATAACAAAAAGGTTTGTGCAAAACAGCAGAGGTAGTCTTTGTCTGTTCTATGGTCCAGGGGTAGAGGGGGGGAGGTAATGGACGACGTTCAGCATCCTCACAGCCTGGTGGATAAAGCTGCAAGTCTGGTGGAGTGGGCCTGAAGGAGGAGTCAATTTGCTGCATTCTCATATGCTGTAATTTCTTAATGACAAATATCTGATATTAACCATCCATTATCTATACTGCTTATTCCTAAATAGGGTCGCGGGGCTCTGGAGCCAATCCCAGCTGGCATTGGGCGAGAGGCTGTGTAAACCCTGGACACTTAGACAAACAACTACACACACCCACACTCACTCCTACTGGCAATTTAGAGTCGCCAGTCAACCTAAGTTGCATGTCTTTGGACTATGGGACGAAGCTGGAGTACAGGGTTCAAGCCCAGGAGGCACAGGGAGAACATGCATGCAAACTCCACACAGAAAGGCACTGGGTCAGCCCGGGCTCGAATCCAGAACCTTCTTAATACCTGATATTTCTACAACTAAAATATTTTTTAAAAAGTTCTATACTGTAGCTTTAATATTGTGGTTATTCAATGACCCATTGGCCACTGGACTTTACTCTAACTTCAGTAGCAGAACACTGCCCAGAGCATCACACTGCCTCCACCGTCCTGACAGTTTACACTCAGAATGAGCTCAAACTAGGCTGATGAACTAAGCCTCTCACTCCTAATGAAGTAACCCAGCAAAAACCTCTGTTTAGTAGCTATTCAGGTCAGATATATGAGAAACAGACATACAACCCCTGTAAATGTGGTAGCTCATACTGTCAGACAGAAATACCTATCACAATGGACTACTAATACCGGCCTTACACCCAACGACTTTTCAAGCTATTTAGTGTCGCAGACAAATTTCCAACGTCGGAATAAAATCATGAGTTTTGCTACAGTCGTGTCGCGCTCGCGTCATCTCAGTCGTTTGGTGTAAGGTCGTGATCCCAGCAGTTTTGATTCGGGGCTTTTTCTCGCCTTGACGCTCCGATAAAATCAAACATGTTTAAGATTATCCTAAGTCTTTATTCTTGGCTCAGGCACCGTTAACAACCAATAGGCGAGCTCTCTCCAGCACCAAACACGAAGCAGCACAGCGCGCACAGCGGTGTATACGTCTATGCGTAAATATGACGGAGACTCCGGTGACTCCGAGCATTGGGATGTAAGGTTTTATTGAACGGTTACAAAGGAGGGCAAACGGGTGGAGTTGTTTTTGACGTGTCATCCAATTTGTACCTCGACAGAACGGAGAAAGAACAGGTGGACAGACCTTGCTGTCCCCTTTAGGTCAAACAGGGTCCCGTCTGTACTCTGCAGTGCCCTGAGGGTGTCAGACTTTAGTCGTTTTGAGTCTTCTATAGTGTAAGACCGGCTTAACTCTACAAATATGAACTGACTCGTTGCTTTCTGCCTAATATATCCCGTCCCTTGACAAGTGCCAATGTAAGGAGATCATCAGTTTTATTCACTTCACCTGCCAGTGGTTTTAATGTTGTGGCTGATCAGTGCAACCTCCTGGAAACCAGTACATGAGAGGATGTTTGCATACAATTTGAGGAGCTTTTACTCAAACAGGCTTAATTGGGTGAATCTAAATAAAGAAATTTACCACTGTATGTTTTCTGTGTGAGGGGTTAATAGGATTCATTTTCTTTGAAGGGGACACAACTAAATAATCAATATGAAACAGACCCGTATTAGATAATAGACATAAAGAAGTGTAGTGAGGCACTTAACAGAGTAAAATGGGAAACACTGCACATTCAATTTCCAAATTGCATTAAATTAATAGTTGCTAGATAACACTTTGGCCTTCCAGAAATTCAATTATTACACCGACTTATTCTTGTGTCACTCGTCTGTGTTCAGTTTATGTAGAGGTACGGCAGCACAGCAGCTCATCTGCAGAGTGGTTGCACCTGGCAATTCAAAAAAAAAAAAAAACCCTCCGGGAAAGGGAAACAATTGCCTGTTTCCCTTGGTTCAGCCAGTGACATTATCCTGTCCCGAGGCAAATTATTATGCACACATCAGCATTCACTTTGATGTAATGAATATTCCAACAACAAATGTATCCTCCCTGGCACACACACACGTCTACTCAGACCCTTGATCACATGCTAAAAAACTCACATAACCAAAAGGGACTGTAGGCACACCATCCTGTAACAGGCGATTAATGAATAACACTTCTTTTTAATCAAATGGGTTACACTTTATTGGGAAATTAAATAAAACAATACAATGTTGTGAAAAGAAAGCAAAACAACATTGTCCAAAGTGTTAAAACTACATATAAAAAATGCAGATAAAAGAGCATGATACAAGATTGATCGCATATATCTGACTGTGTGAAACAACTAATCTTGAGATTTTGGAGGAGGGCACTGGGGAACGATGAGCTGAAATCTATGCACAATCTATGAACAGGATATGTACTCAAACAGTAACTGCAGTAACAGTTTTCTATGGCATGTTATGTATCATGTACCACAGAATACAAAACTCCAATCGGTTGCAGACAGACACAACCTGGTCCAGGAATCTTGCTACTTGTCGGAGTGCTGTGGACAACGCCTGCAGACTCAGCAGAACTAGGACACAAAAAATACTAATCAGTACCCAGACACTGGAATATATAAATACTGATGATCAAGTCATAAACAAAGAGTTAGAAAAAAAAACCCTTTCAAAGACTGGCAATTATTCAGTGGTGGAAGAAGTACTCAAATGGTTTACTTAAGTAAAAGCAGCAATACCATAGTGTAAAAACACTGTTACAATAAAAGGCCTCCATTCAAAATGTTACCCAAATACAAAAGTACTGGCATCAAAAATACTTAAGAGTACTACAAGTAAAAAACACTCATTACGCGGAACAGCACATTTTACATTAATGTATATAATACTATTGGATTATAATTACTGACCCATTATCGTGCACATCACATTTAATGATGCACCTAGTAAAGGAGCTCATTTTAACTACCTTACATGGTTATAATTTGAAGTACTACTAGAAACTTTGTGAATTTTCCACCAGGAATCAATGAAGTCAGATGCTTATATTGCAGTTTGTAAATTATCCTGATCCTGAAAAGTAACTAAATATCAAATAAATGTAGTAGAGTAAAAAGTACAATATTTGGCTCTAAAATGGAGTGAAGTCAATGTATGAAGTAGTAGAAAATAAAAATACCAAATAAATAAGAAGGATTAAGATTAAGGGTCATGTGTTCTATGAGAAGGTTGGTCCATTGGTTGATGTGAAATGATTTTTTTAGATTTCCAGTTTATAAAGATTGTTTTCTTGATGACAGAGAAATAAGAAGCGGGTTTTTACATTTAATTGGTATATGGTTGACTTCTGTGATATTACTGAACAGGCAGAGTGTGTCATGATTCGGTTCCGCTGCTTCCCGTCCGGCTTTTATTTTGACGTTACTTTCTGTTTTTGTTTCACCTTAGTTTCGGTCTTTTTACATACTTCATCACTCACATTAGTTTCACCTGCTTGGTTATTGCTTGCACCTGTTTAAACCTCTATTTAGGCAGCGTCCTCCCACCAGGACGCTGCCAGATCGTTCTAGACCCCAGCTCTGACTTTCCAGCTTTCCTTCGGTTTTGGTATCTTGTGTTTCTGACCCGGACTGCTTCCTTGGATTATTCTGTTCTGCCTTGCCCTCTTATTTCGGACTGCTTCAGTGTATCGGCTTAACGGACTTGTCTTTGGACAACGCGTTTTGGATTCCCCTGGATGTATGTGTTTGCTGGCTCTGACCT